CTAGTGATTTTATTTCCAAGTGATATCTAGCTAACCATGGTGCTAAGGATGAACTTAAAGGTGCAACTTCGATTGGTATCACGCTTCAAAGGTTTATTCTATACACCTTAGCATCATTCGGTAGTAATTACTCTCCCACATTTTCAATATATGCATATGTGTGAGCTTAGAATCAAATACTCTAGCACATATGTAGGGGGAGCTAATACTACCATTTCGGGTTTGTGGTACTTATCCAAAATCATTTACACATGGTAAAATTTCTTGGGCAAGCAACATGAATCCAAAAGAGCTTAATTTCCATATCTTTGTAGAGTTGTCATCAATTACCAAAAAGGGGGAGATTGAAAGGTCCTTGTTTGGTTTTGGTAATTAAGTGACAACCTAGGTGGACTAATTGTGTTTATGTGAGATACACAGGTGATTAGTCCATAGGTACATGTGTGTGAGCAACATATGCCATGAAGGTGACAATGGCTTGGAGATGTTGCAAAGCTCACACATGTGATGATGAAGGAGCTTATTGCAAATGAGACATGACATTGAGTCATGTGATCAAGGTGGAGAAGATCAAGACAAGACTTGGCTTGATGGACCGGTTGCAAGCGTGAAGGGCAAGTCGGAGGCTTTGGAGTGATGGACCGCGGGCGGTGAAGCTTGAGCAAGACTTGGCGCCGATGGACGATGGCAACGGTGAAGACAAAGTGAAGTCAAGATCGATGAACCAATATGATCACGTGATGATATGAAGTGGATCATATCATTGTTGATCGTGTTGGTGCATGTGTTGCATCGACGTTGGAGAAGATGGAATGGAATGCGCAAGGCAAAGGTATAACCTAGGGCATTTCATTTCACCGGTCATAGGTGTGTAGAGAAGTTTATGACCAGGTTTAGGATAGATGGTCGTACTATCAAGAGGGGCAAACTTGTTTGCATATCGGTCATCTAGTGCCACTCGAGTGATCTAACTTTACATCATCGCTAGGATCGAGTGGCGTGGCAAGTTGAGTAGCTAATCCTTTGGAAAATGATTGTGAAAATGCTAACACACATACACATGGTGGTGTACACTTGGTGGGGTTGACACATTTACAAAGGAGATGAAGCTGGAGTTGATGTGGATCAACTCGGTGAAGAAATGGAGGCGAAAGGAGAAACTCCACCGGCGCCCTATACAGAAAAGACAGGGTCTCACAGAATGGACCGGACGCTGGTCATGTAGTGACCGGACGCTGGGGTCCTATGTCCAGTCAGAGCTGACGTATGGTGACGCAGGTAGGGCAGAAGCTGGAGAGTGACCGGACGCTGGTGCTACGTCCGATCGCGATCGACCGGACGCGTCCGGTCGTGAAATGTCGTTTCTGGAACCTTACTAGAAACGACCGGACGCTGGGGTTGTTGCGTCAGGTCAATTCATGCTGGAGCGTCCGATCGACAGATGACCATTGAGATCCAGTGAACAGCGTTTGAAGGAGGGGACACGTGGCGTGCATCGCACGACCAGACGCTGAGGTCCAGCGTCCGGTCGATCGGACCGGAGTGTACGGTCATCCCGACATTTGCCCAGTGAAGGGGTAAAGGCTAGTTTAGCCCTTGGGGCTATAAATAGAAGTGGGCCTCGGCCATGGCTGTAGCTGAGCACCTGAGGGGACTTAGTGTCCATGCTTGTGAGTGCTTGGGAGCCCTTCATCACACATATACTTGATAGTGATCATTCGATTGTGTGAGTGAGCGATTCTAGTGCGATTGCATCGTGATGTTGCATCGAGTGGCACTAGGTGATCGAGTTGCAAGCCGGTGGTGCTTGTTACTCTTGGAGGTTGCCACCTCCTAGACGGCTTGGTGGTGGTCTCCGTCGAAGCCCGCAAGAAGCTTGTGCGGCGCTCCGGAGAAGTGCTTGTGAAGGGCATTGTGCTCGCCCCGCGGGAGCCGCGAAGAGCAACTCTAGTAAAGCGTGTCATTGAGCTACCCTCACTCAAGGGGTAGGTTCTTGCGGCGCCCGACGTGCGGGCTTAGCGGGTGATGCTAATTAGCCGCCGAACCACCAAGTGAGCGGTCGACACAACGGGGACTAGCGTGTTGGCAAACACGTGAACCTCGAGAGAAAAATCATCGTGTCAACCTTGTTCTTCCCGTTGGTTTGCATCCCCATTACACAAGCTTGCAATTACTTTTATACATATTAAGCTTGTGTAGTTGCTCTTGTAATTAGATAGCTTGTGTAGCTTGCTAATTACCTTCTTGCTTGTGTATCATAGAAGTAGCTCCCTTACGTGGCTAATTTGGTTTTAGTAACCTTGTTAGTCACATTGCTTAGTTTGTGTAGCTAAGTACTTGCGCTCTCTAATTAGGCATTGGTTGCCTTGTTATTGAGCATTGCTAGTGAGCATAGTTAGCTTTGTGCTTTTGCTTACTAGCATGTGTAGGAGCTCTCTTGTTGCTTAAAATACTAGTGGCATATGTTTGTGTAATCTTGCTCTTAAAATTGTTTAGGAGAGCTCTAGCTAGCCCGACATCTTTGTTGCATAATTGGTATCTTAGCAAGGTGCTAGTGAACATATATAGAGGGGTGTAGTCTTGGCTAGACCGATTGTTTTAATTCCGCATTTATATCGGTTAGCCGACGCGAATAAAGTTAGAAAAAACTATTCACCCCCCCCTCTAGTCCGCCATCTCGACTCTTTCAGCCGACCGCCTCCGGGCGGACTCCCCTGATCGGAAGGCCTGGCCCAAAATGTTGCTTCCTACTCCGACCTCGCGTCTCCGACCGAGGGCTCATAGGAAGCTGCTTACCGCTCTTCTCCGACTGGCACGGCCAGTACCGACTGGAGCCATCCGACCGGGGATTCCCACTCGGAAGGGACCAGGGGCGAACGGAGAAAGCGGCGCACAAAGTCAAAACACGGTACCGGGACCATACCCTGTACGCCTGTGGGAACAGTGCTCCGCAACCGACCTGACCCAAGCAGTATGGGAGGTTCCGACATTTGTGCCTACAGTATTGTAGGCGCCGACATTTATGTCTACAGTATTGTAGGCGCCGTTGGGCTCCCATACGGCAAAAAGGCCCCCCACATGCCTCTGGGCATCGATAGTGGGCACCAGGATTCACCATACCTGGTACACATGGTGGGGCTCCTCATATACTAACAGCATTTCACAGGTACCGACATCCACCCTTCCTAAAGAAGCCAACGCAACCCCCTATGTGCACCTAACATTCTACAGCGACATCAACAGTGTTATGCGTGCCAACCATCATCATTACCCTCACTCGGCGTGGGCAACAAGACTTAGAAATATCCGTACTCTCTTCCTCTCACCTGTAAAGCCATCCCCTTTATCTATAAAAGGGGATGCGCTCTCTCCAACAAAGGAGATCGAGTCTCCAAAGGTCTACTTCTTCAAGCTCAGCTCACTAGATCGATAGCTGAGAAACCCCTCAAGCACACGCTCGAACACCTAGCTCATAGCGGAGTTCCGGTCGCCCTCGGTCCTTCCGGTCGAACCCGACTGGGCCTCTCGTACACCCCTCCTTTCTCCTTCTCGTTTGTAACCCCACTACAGACTTCGAGCACCTGGGCTCAGGAATAAAGTCACCAACAGACCCACACTGGACGTAGGGCACGTTGTCTGAACCAGTCTAAATCTTGTGTCATTGAGTGCTAGGCCACCTCCGATCACAACGTACATCAAAACTACAAATATTCACTAGTTGATCACTTTCTGTACCAACACAATCTAATGGAGATGCTCTTAGGTTTAATTTGGCTCTTAGGTCTAACTTGAATGCAAGAGAGAGGCAAACCTAGAGATGAAAGCTTTCGTGGAGAACTAAATGGTTTATTAAAATAAGAATTCAATAAATTACTCACTTTGGAAAAAGAAAAAGTCCATAATCCTAAAGAAATTTAAGTTTTAGAAAAAATAAACCTTATAGAACGATGGTTCGTACATACGATCGATCCTAGCAACCTCTATTTATTTGCCAAACTATATTACTTTAAAATATAGTAGTATTCATTTTTTTTTAAAAAAATACAGTGCTATTATTATTTCACAACAGTCTAACGGAGTATGTAAGGGGGAAAATGGTACTTGGTGTAAAAAAAAGTTAAACTTGATGTAAAAAAATCAAACGTCTTATAATTTGGGATGGAGGTATTATTTGGGAGGAGGAGAGGAGGAAAAAAAAGAGGAAAAGAATAGAAAAGAGAGGCTGCCTCTGCCCTGCTTCTGCTTGGCTGGCGATCGGAGGACGACGGAGCAGAAGCAGCTGGCATCAGCCGCTGGACAGTGGGCCTCGAGTGAGTACCAGATAGAGAGAAGACCGGGCGAGAGCTCCGGGTGCTTCCTTGCTTTTTCAGCGCGCCTGATTCAGTTGGTTTCCCCTTCCGGCTGCCCCACTCCGCTCAGGCCTCAGTCCTCAGATCGATCGAGTCCAGCAGAGCAGTTCCAGCTCCAAATCCAAATCCCCGTATGCTTCCCTCCTGGTGGACACTCGAGATTTCCGTCACCAATTTCATATCCTCTTCTTCCGCCAGCGCCGCCGCCGCCCCCACAAGGTTTGCTACTATCCCCCAAATCGATTCATCATCCGTGTCCTTCCTTCCACCTCCTGCTGGCTTCACTTCATTCCATTTCGTCTTCTACCATGCTGATGCTGCAGCGCGGTGCTTCCAGTCGGTCGCCGCAGCACAGACCCAGACCATTTCCTACGCACATCAAACTAACCAGGTTGGTACTGTACTACTTTCCTTTGCTCGATTACCAGCCTCAGCCCTGCGTATCTGCTGCACTTTTACCAACCTCGGTCTCCTCTCCTGGAGTCCATTGGATTGCTATCGCTACCAGTCTCGTCTCATTCCGTTGCTCATGACAGGAGCCAGGCAGGCAATGCACGCACACTTGTTTAGAGCAGAACTGACCACACCGGAACACCAGTGATCTCCCACCTCCCAACATACAGTAGTAATGATCTTCTGATCCAGTTCAAGATGGGCCTCAAGGAGCAGCGTCCGCAGCTCGACCAAACTGATGATGCCATCAACTCACCCGCTTCTGTTTCTGACGACCACCACCAGGGACCGGGCATCCCCCGTGTCTCAAGCTGCAGCACCGACAACGATTCTGGCCTTCCACTTTGCCGGGTCTGTCATTGCGTCGAACCCGATCTGAGAGGCGAGTCCGCCCTCGGATTCTTGGGCATCGCGCCGCCTTCCCCTCCCAGGACTGACACTGACTCCACCACCACGACGTCCACCAGCAAGGTTGCCATCACTGGGCCAAAGGATGATGCCATCAGTGCTCCCAGATTTGTTGAGTTCGTAAGCCCCGAGGGGGAAATATTCGTGTGCGCCACTGACGTCGAATCAGGCCCCCTGCACCAGCATGACCATCTTGTGGATCTAGGGTGTTCTTGCAAGAACGACCTTGCCCTTGCGCATTATGCCTGTGCGTTGAAGTGGTTCATCAGCCATGGATCCACCACGTGCGAGATATGTGGAACTGTTGCTGCAAATGTAAGGCCTCAGGATTTCAACAAGGTTCTCGCGTCCCTCAAGGATTATGAAGCTCTCAGGGAAAGGACATCCACAGGGGAAATCTCATACTTGCAGCATGGGGCAGATACTGGTGTTGATCCAGGCGCCGTCATGGCGATACTGAAGGCAGCGGCTTAGCGAGATCTCATCTTGGTTCAATCCTCACAACTCTCACGTGGCTGTTGCCCAAGGCCATATTGATCAACCTCAGCTGCCACTTAGTCCAACCAATAATTCTGTTCTGGAGCATAGTGTTGTGGCGGCGACACGGGTACATACAAGGTGGAGTTTGGAGAGCACTGGAGTTTTTGTTGCTACCTGCCTAGTTGTCATTATTCTTGCATGGTTGGTTGCTCCACATGTTGGCAAGGTATGTTTCGCTGAAAAAGGTTCTCTTCTTATTTACACATCCACGTGTGAAAATTGCAACTTCTGAACTCAACTGCATACCCCTTCTTATTATAACTGTTAAAAGAGAATTGCTCGGCAGTTCTCCTTTACAAAGCTGTACAAATCATAAAGCGGACAAACATTAAGATAACTACACAACCCTGAAAAAAAGGAGAAAGAATTAGATCCGCCATATGAAAAAAAAAGGAGAAAGAATTTTATAGATGCGTAGAGCAGGTTTTCCATCTGGTGAAGGTGCTGCACGTGTTAAGTATTATTGACTGAAGGACACTGTTATCTGCTGAAACATACTTGTATAAGTTACTGATCATGTGGTTTTCTTTTTTACCCTTGAGGAACTGTAGTTTAGTAACTATTAGTGTTATTTTAAGTTATGCAATTTGAAGTTTGTTAGATAATAACAGTCATCTGATCCATAGAAGTAACTGTGAGCCTGAATTAGAAAGTTTAGATGCAGCTATCCCTTTGTAGCCTCTGGTCGTTCTTGGACCATATTGAGGGTGCTCATATGCATAGTTATTTCTTGCCTTTTATAAATCTGGTTTTTGTATATATATAATTTTCAGCTAATTAGCAACGATTTTCTCTCTTGAGGAAAATAAAACTAATGAGCTAGGTCGATGTAAAAGAAAGGTTCCCCTATGGATGAAGCATTTGATGTGAAGTATGATTTTGTTTTTGGGTTTCTGTGCAGAAAGCTGCTGTAATCTGTCTTCATATGCTTCTTGGAGGTTTATGCGCATTGGCTGTAGTAATATCCCTGAGATTTGTAAGTAGACGGTGATCTTTCATGATATATTTCATTTCCTTTTAGCCAGATTTTTTACCTTTGACTAAGTGTTTGTTTGAAAGCGATGGTCTTTTACCATTGCCTGAATGCTAAATGATCCTTTCTCATTGCAGGTTTTCCGAGAATCCAGTATGGGTCTATGCAATATTGGGCAATCTTGTTTGTGTCCTGGTTCCTTGTGTTTGGTGTTTGGGCTTCACGGACACATGGCGCACGCGCTCCTCATGAGCATATAGTGTAGCATGAGTCATTGCAGCAGACCCGATTGCTTCACTACGGCAGTTTTAGGTACTGCGTCCTTGTGTATATTCACGTGTACTATATAATGCTTGTCTTTTTTCCGAGTTGTTCTATATAAGATGTATATGCTTGATTCAGAAAAGATGGAAAATCATGTGCAGCGCTGGGTGTGATTATTTCCCCCATTTGTTTGAGATAAGCAAACTAGGGTAATATTGAATGCTAAAACAGATAAAACTAGCCCCATAAGTAGTCACCATGTTTTTTTTAACTAGTAGTCGCCTTTTTTTTTTTTTTTTGGGGGGGGATGAGTAGTCACCATGTTACAAGAGAAGAAGTTGGTCAAGCTTCAGTTATAGGGTAGTTTGTATTATGTAGTTTGGCGCTGTAGCACTGCCCTTGTGGCACATGCCCCTTGGGTTGCTTCTTATTTATCCATAGAGGATGGGATAAGAAGTGATTTGAAGCATAGCCCTATTATGATTTCTGATATTTGTTCCTCCATGGAAATGATCCTTGGGCAGATTCACAAGAACTTGAGATGGATGTATCTGTGCCTGACAAGTCGTCTATATGTATAGGGGAATTTGCACATGCCACCACTTAAGATGCAGTTTTCATCAATACCATCAGGCTAGTCGATGACATGTGGGGGTCTAATCCTATATGCCATAGACTTAGGCTGATGGTACAGTAGAAGCCTGACCTTAAACACCCCTCCGGCCCTCCCCTTAGAAATCAAGACACCAATCGGTTGCAGTTGGGGTATTTTGCTTCATTTCCTCCATCCATCAGGTATTCAGATATCAGATTGGGGTATTTTTTTCTTTATTTATTAATTCAACACATCAGCACAGCTTAAATAGCTTGGATCGTCCCATTGAGCTATCTATACTACACTAGTTTACACAGACAAAGATTAACAGCAGCAGCAGACAATCAACTGATCAACTGCATTGTCCACCCTAGGCTAGGTAGCTCAAATATTATCCACTTTGCTGCACATCTAATCCATTCCAAGTAATACGCACTTTGCAGGTTGCAGCTGCTTACAATTGCAAATGGACCCCTTGTTCAAAATCAAAGGGTACTAGTATCTATCGCCAGCTTCATTCATTCTATTCTACTTCTTGGCTGAGTGGACTACAATCAGAGTCTCATCATCCTCGTCCTATACAAGTAGGAACCCCCTCCCTGCTCCCTGGCATCCATCACCTTTCACCAAGTACTGTTTCAAGAAGGGCCTCCTCCTCCTCCTGCACACCACACACAAGTTCAAGAGATCTTATCTACCTCGTCTTAACCAAAACAGTATTATGAACTACATACATAAGGTAAAGACCAGGCCGCATACCACTAGAGCTGTAAATTCTGTCTCTTCATCCACCGCATCCAGAACTGCAGGGTCTTCCATCAGATCCTGAAAAACGTTAACGGTGCGCGAGTAAGTGGTTGCTATTTCCTCTGCTCTAAATACAGACTGGGTTGATAAAGGAAAATGCTAATCATAACACTGCTTACATCCTCAGCAATGCGTAGCACACCATCCTTATCCTGCACAAACATGTGACAACATTCTCAGACATCATGTACAAACTAAATTGCACCACAAGTTGAACAACAACCAATTGCACCACAAGTTGAACAACCACCAACTAACCTTGACTGCGACGAACAGAAGAGGATCAACTGGTGTATAAATCATATAGTGTGCACCATCCTGTAGATACAAAGTGTCAGCAATCACAAGCATGCCAATGAAGACCCAAGATAGACTACTTGTCAGTTACTCCCTCAATTCCAAATATAAGACGTTTTGGCTTTTTCTAGATTCATAGCTTTTATTATGCACCTAGGTATATGCTATGTCTAGATACATAACAAATGCTATGAATTTAGAAATGCCAAAATGTCTTATAATTTGGGTACCAGTGGCAGCATGCTGCATAGGCCAATTATCCTATGAAGTATTCCGTCCGTCCCTAAATGTCTGTCGTTTTCGTTTATCGAGAAATAACTTTGACTAAACATATATTAAAAAATATTAATATTTATGATACATAATTAGTATCATTGGATAGATATTTGAATCTAGTTTTTTAATAAATTTATTTGGAGATAGAAATGTTGCACGTATTTTCTATAAATCGAGTCAAAGTTATTGACACGCAAATCGTGACGACTAACATTTAGGGACGGAGGGAGTACGAAGCTAACTAAATCACATCAACTGTACATCTAAGTTGACCAAAATCAGAATTTCATATTTAAATATTACATCCAGGCAGTTTGCTCACCAAATTGAAGCAACAAATCTCTACACCTTCAAAAGGTACCCCGTCACCACCATCACCAGAATCTGCAATCTTTATATGAGATACCAAAGAGGATATCGCAAATAGTAGATTGTACTAGTAAGCAAATAGTTTCTGAAATTGTTGAGATATTGTCTAGAAAACATTTCATGTTGACTACGTACGTTGGCCTAAAAAAAATATATTCATCCGCAAATACAGATTTTTTTTGTCTTTTCTTAATATTTTGACTAGATGATAAGATATGTTGGCCTCAGATATATATATATATATATATATATAAAGGATGCCTGTGATTTTGGTTACCATGAAACTCTTGAATGGCCTCTTCTGGAAAGCAGAAGCCACCCCTTGCTGTATAACAGAATCTGAAACGGAGAGGAAAGACGCTTGTACAGAGATATCGCGATAGAAGCAAAGGAATGAACAGATATATCCTGAGGCGTGTGCACGATCCTTACCCGCTTTCGACAAAGTGCATATGTACTCTGGCAAGGGCATAGGCAACAGATGGAATGATTTGCTTGAGTTGGTCGTCATCGACCTAAATAAACAGGTTAAAATTGTGCACCAAACGTATAGGAAAGGAAGAAAGCATTATTCCATTACATTAGGAACCATGGAAAAAGAAATGAATAATCTGTTGAAGGAATGTATATAAGGCAGAGAGGGTGAAGACATACTGCTACCCAGCCACTGAAATTTGTGCTCTTGAGAACCTGCACAGGCCTGGAAGAGTGTCACTTGGAGTCTGCCATGAGTATGAGTGGCAATGGACAATGGTACGAAAGTGTGGCCGTGGAGCTTTACATGTCAACGGGGCAGAGAAGCAAGCAGTCGTGGTCCTGCGAGCTCCTGAATACTCTTCGGATAATGCACTCCAAGAGGCGGTTGCTGGTGTCGTCGATCTGCAGAGCGCAATGTTGGTTTGGCTTGAGTTATCTGGTACTTAATTTCATTTGTGATGAAAGAAAGAAAGAAATATTAGCTGAATCCAACCATAGTACCATACCAAGGTGCAGAACGAAAGACAAGAAAAAGAAGAAGAGGAGGAATGGGATGGGTAGGCGTACGATGGTGACGATGCGCTTGGATGCTGCGGCGATGCACCTGCCCTGGTCATCCAGCACGAAGCCGGCCGGTGGCTTGGGCATGGCGGCGGCCCGGGTGCCCCAGCGAACCTCCCTCCTCCCGGTCGTCATAGCCACCGCCGTCGTCGTATTCATAATCATCTTGGTCCAGAGGGACCCTGGGCGGACGGCGCGCGGGTCCGGGGGGCTTATTCCTGGGAGGGGGCCGTGGGCGGGCGCGGTGTTGCTGCTGCTGCTGCTGACGGGGCGGCGCGACCCGGACGGAGACGGCGCGGCGCATGAGGCGCAGGGGCAGGGGGGGCCTGGTGGTGTGGACAAGCACTAGCTGCTGCTGCCCCCGCTTGCACAAGACCGGGGGCACGGGAGCGGCCGCCGCCGCCATTTCTAGTTGCCTGGGAGGGAGCCGGAAAGCTTGGAAGACGAAGACGAGTGGATGCTGGATGGATAGCGCGCTCGTCCTTCTCTCTCAACCGTCAGCAGTTGAGACTTGAGAGTGAAAAAAAAAATCTTTCACGCCCTGCCGTCCCCGTCGCCATGGTGGACATGGACTGGTGGTGGGTTGGAAGACGAAATCGTTATGGGCCGGTCTGGGCCACTTCCGCATGTGGTAATGCAGCCCATGGGCCAGCACCGACAGCAGCCCACAACCCCAGCAACCCAGCACCGGCGGCGGGCAGACGCTGCTAGCGCTAGCGACTCGCACGGACGAGGAGCTTCCCCTTCACTGCCTCACCGCCGCCGCCGGACAACCATGGCGTCGTCCAAGCTGCAGCTGCCGGCTGACGACAGCGTCCTCCTGCTCGTCACCCACTCCAATCTCTCCACCTTCGCTGCGGACATCCGCGTCTCGCAACAGGTGGGTGTGGCTCTCATCTTGCCGGGATCGGGATCTCCATCGTCTCTGCTCTGCTAATGCATCGGATCGCAGACCACCGTCGAGGCGCTCAAGGACAAGCTCTGGCGCAAGACCGGCACCGCCGTCGCCTCCATGCGTCTCCAGCTCCGCGACGACACCGGCGCCAAGATCGCCGACCTCGATGACGACGCTGCGCCCCTCGCGGCCTACGCCCCCTACAACGGCTACCGGATCCATGTTGTTGATCTCGATCCTTCCTCACTCACCTCGGGTGGCTGGTTGGAAGACACTTCCCTTGTCGACAAGTACAAAATGTCCGATGAAGCATACGATAAGCTCGACAGTAAGTTTGAGTTCCCCGGCTGTTTCATTCTTTTTTTTCCAACAATAACAACAACAACAACAACAACAAAGCCTTTAAGTCCCAAAGGTAGTCTTTTTTTTCCCCAAAGTCAATATATGCTTTTGGATATATCTGTTTGCAACTTGCAGTGCATTAGGCCCAATGCTAATTTTATGATTTTGGTGACAGCTAACTTTCGAAAATTCAAAGAAAAGATGGTCCCGAAAAACTCTCCGTCAGAGGATAAAGAAGTAAGTTACTAAAGTTTTGGACTGTCTTCTTTCATTTTTCATCTCACTTATTCTATTTCTTTCAGCAATCAGAAAAGCATATGGAGGAACTATGCTCCAAGATCAAGGTCAGTCACTTTGGTTCTTCCCATGTGCTTCAATTTAGTTGCACTAAGACTGGCAAATTGTCCAAAATCATTGTCAGATTTTTAGTGCTGATGATTTAGCACCCAAAGACACACCCTGCCAGTCTCCAGAGCCTCATTTCAATTCCATCTTTAATTGCTGGCACAATCACGATATATATGTACCAATTACCATCCTTGCTATAATTGCAAATAGTCTAATTTGGGCTAACAATATACTTATTACCAAATCAGCATGCTAACCTCTTTCATTGCCTGAATGTCACTTTCCTCTTCCCACTGAACCTTTTTTTCCCCAAGGAATATGTGAACATCCTTAGGATTAATTTTAAACTGGTACTCTTCATGGACCATGGTTGCCAACTGCAGCAGGTGATCTAACAAGTGTGTCACAGGTGGGAGATAGATGTGAAGTCGAGCCTGGTGCCAAGAGGGGCACTGTAAAATTTGTTGGTAGAGCTGAAGCACTTGGACGTGGATTCTGGGTTGGAGTGCAATATGATGAGCCACTGGGAAAGCATGATGGCATGTATGTTCAGTCCTAAACTATGAAAAATAGAAAATGATAGGCTTTTGTGTTGATTGTGTGATTAGCCATTTTTGTTATGTATAATGCTAATTGCTGCTAATGTCATATTCCTTGATTTTGTGATGGGTAACCTGCTATTATCATTAATAAATGGCAGTAGCTCTTTATAACATTTCCTTGTGCTTCTTGGATACTGCAGGGTGAAAGGCATTCGCTTCTTTGAGTGCCCTCAAGGTCATGGGGCAATTGTGAGGCCAGAGAAAGTAAAGGTATTTTCGTTGCTAGATTCCTAGCTCTTTACCTTGTGTGTACTTTGGAGCGAGTTTTGGTTAGACGTTATCTCTGCAGCTGATTGCTGAAATTTAGAGGCGCCTAGTCATGTGACATGAGTGTGTGTTTGCATTGTAAGGTCTTGAGTTTTTCTAAAGAAACAATTGTGAGAGCATGTTTCTTTGTGACATAACCTTTTCGAGCTGGGTTGCCTATTAGTAATAAGGATGAAAAAGTTAACTGGGGCCGAGCCTTTGCTCTGTTTGGGTCGTTGTAATAGTATAACAGGTGATTTCTGGGGTGCAACATAATCTCCTAGCTGAGGTAAGAGGTTGCCTTGTATGGGATTTTTTCTCCTTCTCTCTTATTAATACAAAGATATGCAGTTCTCTTGCGAGTTCAATAAAAAAATGATATTTTTTTCACAGAAGTTAAAATGTTCCTCAACAGTTTTCTTTTCTTCTCATTTTCTTTTTCGCAGGTTGGCGACTTCCCGGAGAGAGACCCATTTGAAGACGATGACGAGATATAGGCAACCTAGGAGGGGTGCATGTGCATTTGATTTGAAAAGGGAGGGAGGTCCTTGTTGAGTTGCATTTGAAACGTGTGTAAAATTAATTTGGAGATTTGAGTGTGCGCGCTTGCTGTTACTATCTTTGTTGGTTACAATCAGAGTGGGTTACTGAAAAGCACAGCAAGCGATTGTAACTGGTCACATTGCAAGACATGCAGTCCATGCGCAGGCGTGCGTGATCTCTGGTCTCTGCCAACTTCTGTTACATACATGTGGGTGCTTCTCTACTAGAAAATGTATGATGGCAGAAACTTTTATTCCGTGTTCCCAGTCCCCTGACTGCATTGAAAGCCCCGTTCGATTGATGGTTTCGGCTGATTGGTTTGTGGCAAGCAAACTAAAGCTGATTTATCGTGAGAGAAAAATATTGTTATGATAAGTTTAAGCTGATTTTTTGTTATGCATAAATGTTTTAAAACCCTTTTTGAAATTGTTTATCCAAAAGAATTGGAGAAAGTTTTTTAAATAAAATTTTGAGAAAACTTATTCAAATTGCAAGAATAATTTTTGTATCGATAAATATATATTTTATAATTAATCTAATGATCCATAAATGTAATTAGTCATGTATCTATCTATCTATATCAATTAAACTTAAGATTAATTGATTCATAAAAAAACGGAAATTTACGTTAAAAAAGATGGAGGGAGTACGTGGGTCATTATAAAGAAGAAAAAGAAAACACTCATGAAAGATGTTCTTACATTAGGGCGTGTTTAGATGCTTTTGGAATGGCAAAACTTTTGTCTCTAATGTTTTGCTGTAAAATTTTTACCATTCACACTTTTGGTATTTGGTGTTTAGATGTATGGCAAAAATTTAGTCATGCAGACACAGCATGCGCCCCTAGGACTTTTTTTTGCTCAGTTTTGGCTCTCTTAGGTCCCAAATGCTAAAAGTTTTATAGCCCAAGTTTTGTTATTTTTGTCTATGGTGTTTAGATTTATTTTGCCAAACGATAGAATAAAACGTCAAAAATTTTGGTCAAAATGGGAAATAAACATGGCTAGGCGGCAATTCCAGTAGCAAAGCAACGGGGCTAACCAAACAAAAAACAAACCAAAGAAGAGGGTAGAAAAAAATGTTTGCGGTTGGCTGGTCCTAGCAATTGTCCAAAATTCCAATCTCTCTCGGTCCCGTGAGCTGATCTAAAATTTAGTTAAAACTGAAAAAAAAAAAATTATTTTAACTAAATTATTATAAGAGAAAAATACTACTGAAAAAAGAACCGACCGAATTGTATGGCCTGCCTGCCTGACTACACTGACTAGTGACTAGACTAGACCTGGCGTGGCCTGGCTGCTGCCTTCCCCTTCCTCCCTTCCTTCCCCACTTGAGTTCCCCGCCCGCCCCATTCCTCCTCTCCTCCCACCGACCCACCATGACGATGAGGTGAGGCGAGGCGAGGTGAGGTCTACTCTCCGGGCCGTGGCCGACGCCGACGAGCAGCTTGCTCCATCCCCGCCATCTCGTCTTTCTCGTCCACAATACACTAGTTGTGGAAGAGATGGAGGACGGAGGCAAGGCGCCGGCCAGCCTGGGCACCCTGCGCGCGGTGCTCGCCATCCTCCAGTGGTGGGGCTTCAACGTCACCGTCATCATCATGAACAAGTGGATCTTCCAGGTTTCCTCCTTTCCATCCGCATTCTATTCTAGTTCTAGCTCCCCCATCTATCTTCCAATCTCCGCCGCGGATCTGGATGCCAGATGCTTCTGCCCTGCTGCCCATTCTAGTTGTAGCCTTGTAGGAGAACGACTCTTCTCCTTTCCAATATCTAACTGAATTCGTCCATACAGCTTACCATTTCATTATTTGCGGTTCCCCGCCCTCTCCCAGTTTAGTTTGGGTGGGAAACAGACAGGGTCAAATGGACTTGGCCATTGGGGCTTGGATTATTAGTACGTACTAGTTTATTACTTTGGTGCCTAGGGCCTGTTTGGTTCCTTTCCCTCCTCCTAAAATTCCTAAAATTCCTGTCACATCGAATGTTTGGACACATGGAGTATTAAATATAGACTAATTACAAAACTAATTGCACAACTTGCGACTAATTTGCGAGACGAATCTTTTAAGCCTAATTAGTCCATGTTTTGACAACGTGGTGCTACAGTAAACATGTGCTAATGATAGATTAATTATGCTTAAAAAATTCGTCTCGGAAATTAGCCTCTATATAATTGGTTTTATAATTAATTTATATTTAATACTCCTTATTAACCTCTAAACATTTGATGTGACATAAATTTTAGGAGCGACTAGAGAAACAAACACCCCCTTAGTCTTGCAGGGTTCAGCAGCCTAGTCACACCGTATTTTATCTCGATTTACTGTCTAGTCAAGTTGCTGCTCGTATGCATTCAGCAATCTTCTTTTGTATGTTTGGGTAATTGGGTAATGATAGACATGTAATAGGAGGTATATTGAAATGACTTTCTCCCTTTCTTCCATACTGCCTACGGAGTACACCAAAATGCAGCCCATTCACTGTGCAAGCCAACTGTCTATCAAAAGCCGTGCCCTTGATATAAGATGCTTTTCTCTGCAGAAACTGGATTTCAAGTTTCCTCTCACCGTGTCCTGTGTCCACTTCATCTGCTCTTCAATCGGAGCCTACATCGCAATCCATGTGCTTAAGGCGAAACCGCTGATTGAAGTTGAACCGGAGGACCGCTGGAAACGGATATTCCCAATGTCGTTTGTCTTCTGCATAAACATTGTGCTGGGAAATGTGAGCCTGCGCTACATTCCAGTCTCCTTCATGCAGACGATCAAATCTTTCACTCCTGCAACCACAGGTACCTAGATTATGCTACCCTCACTGTTTGTTCAATCTTCCACTTGTTATCATGCTGTGGTATGAGAAGATGATACGCTGGTTTCATGCCATGCAGTTATTCTGCAGTGGCTAGTCTGGAATAAGCACTTTGAGTGGCGCATATGGGCATCGCTGGTCCCCATAGTCGGGGGAATACTCCTGACTTCGGTGACAGAGCTTAGCTTCAACATTTTTGGTTTTTGTGCTGCCATGGTTGGCTGCCTGGCTACATCTACAAAGACCATCTTGGCAGAGTCCCTGCTCCATGGATACAAATTTGACAGGTACACGCTTGTCTTATGCTATTGGTGCACTGGTGCTTTTTTAGAAGCTGCGTGCTCTGCCAATAACGGTGTTCAAAACATTTCATCTTCCGAAATTAATCTGTTCTTCGAGACCATTTTTCCTGCTGAATGGAGGTTGGAACTGCTAATTAATTAGTAAAATGGCTTATTCTATTTTCTGCAGCATTAACACGGTGTACTACATGGCACCCTTTGCCACCATGATACTGGCTCTACCAGCAATGTTGCTTGAAGGAGGCGGTGTAATCAACTGGTTCTACACACATGATTCAATCGTTTCTGCGCTGATTATCATCCTAGGTTCAGGGGTGCTTGCGTTTTGCCTTAACTTCTCCATCTTCTACGTCATCCATTCAACAACAGCAGTGACTTTCAATGTTGCTGGCAACCTCAAAGTAAGGCATGACTATATTCTGGGCCATGTTCTTCTCCCTACTCCCTCTGCTCGACATTGACATCTTAATGGACATGCTTCTGTAGGTCGCGGTGGCAGTGTTAGTGTCATGGTTGATCTTCCGGAATCCAATCTCTGCGATGAATGCAATTGGATGTGGAATCACCCTGGTTGGTTGCACTTTCTATGGCTACGTGAGGCATCTGATCTTGCAACGGCAGGCTGCAGCCCCAGGGAGTCCAGGAACAGCGCATGCGAACCTTTCAAGAAATCAGATGGAGATGCTTCCCCTTGTGGACGACAAGCAAGAAAAGGTTTAGCAAGTTGGCATTTCTGCAGTGGAAGAAGTACAATACAAACAGATGGTATGCCCAGAGAAGACTGACAGTGGTGATATAGTGCTGGGTTCAAGGCTGCATAAGCTAGGGCTTGCAGTAGTTTCTTCACTTCTTGAAGAGAGAATTATATATGTACTCGTGGGTGTGTGGTGAGGTTGGTCAGAGACTAGTAAATTGGAACTTCTTATATCATCATTTCCTCCTTCCAATTGTGATATTAATCTCCGGTATCAGAATTCAATTCGTTATTAGGAAGGTTGATTTGATGTGGTGTCTATGCTTATCCTACATATTTGACTGCTGACCTGGGAATTTATCATGTGCTCTGCTCGAAAGCTGCTGCAGCATGCTCTGTTGGCGTGCCAGATGCTACAGCATTTTCCAAAGTTGTGTGCAACGTTGCCATGGCTGCGAACGATATGCTGTCATGCAAGGAATAAGGCCAGGCGCCTAGAGTCAATGTTGCCCGGTCCGGCACTCTTAGCATGGCACTATGACAGATAAACAAACAGATAGGCATGCATTGTGGTCGTTGACCTCAGCACATTGTGGCTCCAACAATTTTTGCCTATAATCTATAAGCTGAAAACTTTGACAGCTTCTTCTGCTATGTATTTACAACCTTCAAGAATGAGCCAGAAGAAATTGTTTTTTGATGTGAAGAGAATTAAGCGCACGCCAGGATTGGGCTTGGATGCTGAGGCTTCTCATCGACCACTCCCGACAACTTGGTGGTGTTGCCACCGTGAGCACATGACTTGCAATCCACCGACGGCGGATTCTCTGTGCTCCAGTCATCTGGAACTGTCAGGAAGTGCTTGCTCATGAACTTCCTGAACCTCTTCTTGTAATCCCTGGGGGAAATCACCGTTGGCGATTCATTCTTGGGCACCACCAGAGACACTTTCACCATTGTCTCCAGCTGCTTGTCCCATGTATACTGCCTCAGGTAGTCGATGATGCCGAATACGAGCTCATGCTTCTGCCTGTCCACTCCAACCAGCAAAGAGTAGTCCATAACATTGATCGACTGCTAGCACAGGTATTTTTGTTAGCACGTCTTCAATTCCATCTATCTATGAATTATGATATGGCAGCACAAATGGAAGTCATACATACCGTGAGAAAAGACGTATCATTCCAGATTGCCCGCTCCAAGAGATGCTTTGCTCTTCCACCAATATAGATTGGAGAAACACGCATGTCATCCACAAAGTTTTGGTCCAAGTAGACGGTGCCATGGTCATTTGAATCGGAGACATATCGCGAAAATATGGCGCCTTTCAGATCATATGTCCGTGACACATTGTGTCCAAACAGGATGTTTTCCATCACCATCAGATCCATCTTAATCTCCTTGCCATGTCTTATTTGCTTGACCTGAAACAGAACAGGATGCTCACGGTTTAATAAAGAAAGACAGCAGTGGGAAGAAGGGAGTCCTGCGATAACTATTTGAGATAACTACCTGATAGATTCCTAAGATTTTGGCAAGGCAAGTTTGGCTCCCCGTGTCCAGAGAATGGTTAACATGCTTGAAGTAATCAGGCGCAAATTTTATGAAGGACTCAAACTCTGCCTTCTTTATTTGCTTTATGATGAGCCTGTGATCCATTGTTTTTGCAAAGAATGCCTTGCTCTTTCCGCCTTGAGCATCCCACTTCTTGCAACGGCTCAAGGAAGTAATATATGCAAGCTCTGAGGGGCAGCATTTCCTTCGGAGGTTGTAGAACTGGTTAGAGTGTACACAGATGACTGAGTACTTCCCTTTGAGAACTATTCTCCCGTTGACAGATATTTCTGGATGGAGAGAGGTTGATAGAAGTGAGCTATCATAGCTGGAGAGGTCGTCAGATGAAATGCTTGCCTCAGAATCTGAAGATCCAAAAGATGACGACCAGGACAAAGAAGCAGAGGAACTTTCAGATACGGAGCTGTAAGACTTCTCCATTGTTTTAGCATACTCTCTACCCCTGATATCTGCTGGTTCAGTCTCAGCAATAGCATCCATCATTAAGTGGCGACGATCCTCAGATATAGCAAGAGCTCGGGATATTATACTGGATATCTCATCCTCTGATACACACAAGATACTGCCACCTGGACCGACTGTGAACTGTGGAGAGCCCATCTCCTCGGCAGATTGTCTGTGTTTGTGCAAGGGGGATAAATGAGTTGGACGATAGTGGTTGACGACTTGAAACCTTTCCAAACATCCAACTTCCACTTCCTGCCTGTAAGCCAATCTGGACTCATTCAGTGGGTTCCAAACACATTTTTCCCCGTCACACCGTTGCGGAATATTGCTCTGAACACCCAAGCAATTTGAGGCCCCGGAAGATGGCACTTTTGTGCTATGCTGATCATTGTAATGCTTATTCCATGCATCATCAAGCAAGGTTGATGCATGTCTGTACGTCCCTGGTTCACTGAACTTCTCTGGCTCGATACATCTATTCGCAAATGATGCTTTGCTGCTCATGCGCTCACCGATCCCACCTGCTTCAACAACTACGGCAGTTTGGTCACATGTAAATTCAGAGGTTTCCGTGATGCCATTTCCCACTATTGCATTTTCAGCAGATGTACAGTCTACAAATTGATGCAGGCGGCGGTCCCACACATAAAGTTCCAGCAGAAGATCCTGATAGAGCCAATTTACATTAAGGATATCATCCACAGAGCTTGATTCCCTATTTCGATCAACAGCCTTTGCTAGAGAATCCTGGATGATAAAGATAAGCCGTGAAATAATGATTACCAGAAATGCAGAGTAAATCAATTGTGTGACCGATGGAAGGTTCATCTAAAAGAGGACGGGAAGTTTTACCATGAACTCAGCCTTCTCTTTAATCAACATCTCTTCAAGTTGGGAAAAGTTTTTAACAGGAAAGAAGGCACCACGATAGATTGCTAGCTCAGGAAACTGATCCTTCAGCTTCTGTAGTACGCTTGTGACTTCAGAGAAAAGTGTAACTCCTGTAGCAAGAACCTTATAGAAGTGCAGCAGAGGCATTAGGTTCCACTATGGATTTTCACAAAAGAAGCATGAGACGGAACCAACAATTGAGAACGATACATACATTTCTTACCTCTTGCCCGTACCACTCATGCATATTGGGATTATGAAACTCAAGAGTAGGCTGTGGTTTGCAGGCATTGTAAATTTCGACTGAGGAATACTGGAACATTGCAACTTTGGAGCCCAACCTGAAGTTCACAGATCCCAAATAAATGAATAGAAAAGGTTCAGTCCAATATACAATGGAAGAAAAATAATTTATGAAATCATATGCAGCTGATGTTCTAAGGTTCTTGACTCTTAGGCTTACCCAAAAAAGCGCAGACAATCCCTATTGAGTGAATGCCCGCATATTGACAGCCTTCTAGCAGTTGAGTGGCTTGAAAAACTGAGTTCAAGGAACTTCCCAAATGAAAGGTAGTGTGCTTCAGTTGACATTATCACCCTTCGTGATGATGTGGAGTTCCCATTTTCATGTTCACATCTTAGACATCTAGTCCACATCCAAATCTTTCCTTCTGATTCACCAGGTAAACAATATTTAGGCAGCAAGCACTTCACAAGAACAGTCAGATTCCCGTTGCGGTGAGTGTAGGAATACATGTGAGCCTCTGGAGGCTCTCCACATGAGGAACAGCTGAGATTCTGTGAAAAAGACACAATCATGAGTCGTGAGCATATTCTTCAAATCGAGTTGGGAAAGGTTCTGTATCAGCCAAAAAGAATGGAAGCAAGAAGTCGTTTGCTTGGAGGTATCGAATTCATTTGCTTGGAGGTATCGAATTCATATTCAGCTGACAGAAGTAGATCGGTAAACATAACCTAGAATGATAACAATGTTACCTGCTTCTGCAAAATGTCTTGCAAATAGCGTCCTAAGGAAACATCAAAATTTCCGTAGTATCTTATACGGGATAGACGGCTCTGCTCGCAGATAACCTGCTTTGTGATACACTGGCTGGACAGCAAAATAAGTATGCTCTGAGACTCCAAGACATCATCCACCTCATCTATATCAGATGTCTTGTCTCCGTTATTGTAACTGGTGCTGTGTTTAATATTTTCCAATGACTGCTCTTGTTTTTCACTAACCGAAGGGCCATCCAATGTCATTTGTTGATTGGTTTCAGAGGATTCTTGTTCCTGGGGGTCGCTTAAATGATCCACATTCTCACCAGAACCAGTTGGTACTCCAACGTTTGGGCTGATATGGATACCGTTACTTGCCATGCCTTCATTGTATTGAGGCCTGTCTTCTATCTGATCATCAGTTGCCTCTTGAGAAGCAGTGACCGGTAAATAAATATTATGATAACGGAATATATCAATGAATCTTCTCGGTGATTCTGGGACTGCTGATACTAGTCCTTCAGAAGGAGTGCTTGATTAGGGAAGTTCTTCTCGAGTGAATTTAGAGCATTGAAATATGTAGAAGAAATGGTAACTGGCACCCCATCAGTAGATTCCTGTACTGATCCTAGTGACGATGGTCCCGCCCTCCTAGTGACAGAAACTTCTTCTTTGGAAGAATTCTTATTGTTCAAGATTAGTTTCTGATCTTCGAAGAAGGACGTCTCAAGAACGAGGCGGTATGCTGCAAACACTGTGTAGTTCATGACTTGCTTGATTTTCTTCAGTTCTTCAGTATTTGCTCCCCTAAGCAATATCTGCAGGACGAAAGGAATCACCATTATCTATCGTTCACAGTAAGCTGTTAATTTACTAATGATTTATAATAATTGCACGAAATTAGCACTTGATGTTGTCAGCACAAAGAAGGGAAGAAGACATCTATTCTATCTATATACTTTCATACTTCTTGATGCAGCTACGTCATCACTACTAGTATCTCATTGTAGTATAGAGATAGTGGTTCATCAATTAGTCTTAATCTATATGCATGTTTGCTAGGCCAGAATCATGCATGACAGTGCTTTATTTTAAAAGGAAACAAAGCGTGTCAAATTATAAAGAAGAAAAACGCATCCTGCTGTTAAGGCAGATATATATTCTGCTGTGAACATATACATAAAGCAGAGATTTAGAAAGGTATGCCCATGCTCGTGCATGGATCTTGTCTTATCTTAGTATAATGCAGCATCAGTGGTGGGCTGTGAAAGGTATGATCGTGCATGAATCTTAGTATGATTAATTAGAAAGGAAGTAGCAGACCCTACCGTGCATCCCAATGGCTTGTGAAAGCCTTCCAGGAACATTAATGTTTTAGATGGCCTCTTTCCAACTCCAGTGCTGCAGGTAAGGTTGTGCTCCTCCGTCACTTTTTCAATGTGGAAGTAGTCACACTGCTTCAACTTTGGCTTGCTGAGAACCTCTGAAAACGAGAGTATGGGAGCGCCAGAACAGCGAGCAATCCTCTGCAGCCGGTTGAGCTTCATGTCAAGCACTAGAGTGACACCTTCCTTGAGAAGAAGCTCCTGTATGTCGCGTGAAACCGTTTTCTCGACCATGATGACATCTGGGCGGCAAATCTCCATCATTTTGCAGACAGACTTGTCTAGATGGTCTTTCTCCTGCTCTATGGAACTGAATGATGAGAAGCCAACATGGGAATGGCCGAGGACTCCACTAAGCAGCAGCAGCCTGGGATTGCGACATTTGCTGGGCATGTGCTTATGAGCCACATTCTTCCTGAAGACTAAGCCCTTGACGACCTCACTGCATGCAGATGCAGTGGAAGACAAGACATGCATGCACATTATATATATTCTTGACATGTGGTGTTTAATAATAATAATAATAGATATAATTAGCGTATTATATACATACGTACCATTGGCGGGGTGTACCAGATGCTAGGCACTTGACCTTGATGTAAGAGGAAGGGTCCATTTGGTTGCCTACAGCAGTGCCAACATCAGGCTTGATCACAAGGGCAGCTTCCCAGGAGAGGGAGGTGACGATGTCAAGCCAGCAGCAGCTGTTGCTGTTGCTGTTGCTGGTGGTGTCAATGCCAATGCCAGCCGACTCTAGAAAGCGAGCGGCGAGCATCCTGAGCTGCCCGTTCATGGCTCTCAGCATGGCTTTCTGCCGTTCCTCCCTGTCGGCAGCAAGGGCGGCGTTGGTGGAGGACTGATCAGCATGGCACCACCTGATACTGCTGCTGGTGGTAGCATCATCGTCATCATCGGATCCGTCATCCTCATCTGTGCAGTAGGATGTACTACCTCCGGCTCGGGCATCGTAACAGGTGGGCTCATCATCTTCCAATTCCATGCTGTCTGCAGCAGCTGCCTCATCAGGCGGTATCCAGATGGCGTCGTCGTCGTCGTCGTCCGATTCGGTGGTAACGACGACGACGTTGGGCATGTGATTATTGTGAGCCCCATCGTCTCCAGATGGGCAGGCATGCAGCAGATGGTTTGGATTAGCACCACCAAGGGCAAGGGCATGGGCATCGTCCTCATCCCTGTGAGTGCACGCAGGGAGGCAACAACTCTGATCTGCTGCATGAATTTGCACAAGCTAAGAGAGTACTGGGTCGGGGGCAGTACCTTGTGTGCAGCAGAATCATGGTAATAATGGAGCTCCAAAGAACGGCAGCATGCAGTTTTGTTGTTGTGTGCCCCTCCGATCCCCTCCAAGAAATCCTTAGCTTACTTGTGATGAATTGAAATCGATTATGTATACTGATGCATGCTGCATCCAATCCAACAAATCGATGGGTTTCTCAACAGATTTTAAAACAAACTGGCACGCATGCATGCATCGATATATCTGTCCGGCTAGCAGACGACTCACCTACGGATCGGAGGGAACGAACCCTGATGATGGATGATTATTAGAGCTGAGATGGACTGACGACGATGAACTGGAGTTATGTACGTTGTTGGAGGATTCTGGCAGCAGCAGCAGCAGCTACGAAGGAAGGAAAGCGAGGAGCAAACGGTCGGGACAGATGAAAGGAAATACTAGAACTGAACTTGTTGCCGTGTCTTTGGCATCAATTAATATCGAATTATCGATTGATTGGTTGATTAATATAATAAATAAATTCATCCATCATATATTCCACAAAAGGAGTATATTAATTAGTACGAAGAGATGGTATCGAATTATTGTCCACCTGTATGAGTGTGGAACCCATATATATGCGGGCGATTCTCGATCGCTAGCTAGTTGGACACAAGGCATGCATGCATGCTGACACGTGTACTGTATACATGATCGATCGCCTTCCTTCGCTGTCTAGCCTAGCCGTCTCCATCATCAGTGTCATCAGATCAACTTCTTCTAAGCACGATACTCCACCTCCTGTCTATAATGCAATGCGGCACAGTAAAAAAAGTATATATACTCCTATATATATGGATCCATTCCGACTCATACAGTACACAGATAATGCGAGATGCAGGAAAACGCCATGCCACGTGTGTATGCATGCATGATTAGCTAGCACAGCATCGATCGATCTACATGGACCAAGCAGTGTGTGCCTTCTCCAGCTCGATGATCTGCAGCACCCACGTGTCCCTGCGTCATCAGCTCAAACCTGAATACGAGGAAATTTTTTAGCTTTGAGAACGCATGCTCTCGATCTTGTTATGCGTCGTTGAATGTACACGTCTCAGTGCACATCCAACGGTGCGTAGCATATGAGAGCGTATACTTAAGAGCAAATTTTTACTTTGCTTATGACTTATGAGGGGATTCAGGTTCAAACTTGACGGCTTTGCCCTGCTGAGGTGGCAACACCCCATCCATGGCTCCACCAGATTCTGTGTATGGGCACACTTTTAGTTTCAACCTATTTTTCTTATAGCAATTTTGTTAAATATTAAGTGGAATGTTTTTTTTCAAAAAAAATCCTATAACTAAAAATATGCTTAAAAAGTTCTAAGCTTTTTTGGACGGGAGAGCAACTTAATTAAATATAACTCATTTTAACTTGTTACACTAAAAAAGGATTAACTAAAAAAGAACAAAGAGAAGTGGGAAGCAATGAGATGTGAATCTGTGCAAAATCAGCCTCCTGACATTTCTCTCGATTCTCACAAGAGAAACCAAAACATTTCTTCTATTCAAATGTACCCTAAATCAATTTTAATTTGATGCTAGTCCTACGTGTTTTGTTAGACATGGTTAAGGGATTGTTTGTTGATAGATTTAACATGGCTACCATCCAAATAGAGCATATGCTGCCTGGCCTCTTCCTCTAGGCATTTTGGTGTGGTTAATTGTGGTTAACGCAGGATTTTCTATTTTGATAATAATTTTTTGTCACCTCCAAAATTATCGAAATTCGCCTTAAATTTCGAAGAATTTTTTTACACCTACAAATGAAGTATGATTTTTAAAGAAAATCATAAATGAAGTATGATTTTTTTTTCTAAATAAATTTAGATCTAGACAAAATATTAGCATGATTTATGACTACACATGTATTGAGTAGAAGAAGATGCAACATGAACAATAGAAAAATATGAGTCTAGATTTATATAGCACATGTATTAATGTAATACAAATTTCAAAATTTTCTTTCAGTCACCCTGAAAGTATCGAAATTCCACCAAAATTTTGAACCCTGGGTTGATGTACATTCATGCATACTCCATGCGTCTCATAAAAAGAGTCGCTATTGGATTCGTGTCGGTCAAATTTTCTCAAGGTTAACTAGACTTATAGAAAATATTAGCAATATTTGTATCTTTAAATTAGTTTATTATAAAAATATATTGAATAATATATCTAATGATACTAATTATATACCATAAATATTTTAAAAAATACACATATTTGGTCAACAAGTTAATAATATTTGACTTGTCGGAGGTGGAAATGGCCTTTTTAATGGAACAAAGGGGGTACGTGCCTAACCAAAAACTAATGAGATGATCAAGATGAATCATCTACTTTAAAGGACGTGAATGTTAAAAAAATGACACAAGCCGTGAAACTAACATGTAATAGCACTGTTTTTTCTATGGCCTTATGCCTTATTTGGATGTAGTCGGATTCGTATTGATCCATATGTGTTGGGTTGGATTGGAATGAGACACGAACTAAATTCCACACCAAACCACCTCAACACATGTGGATTGAGATGAATCTGATAACATCCAAACAAAGCCTCATGAAATAAATACACAATCTTCCCATAGGTTCGGGGAAAGAAAATGGATGCAATCATAATCGTAATACTTTGACTTCCTGGACGCACCGGACGGAGCAAGTTTCGTTCTAACCCGTTACACGGACGTGCCACCTGTAACAAAAATAATCATCATGAACTGGTGGATGCCGTGACGCCCGCCTAGCCACAGCCCAGAGGAGGCCCCGCCATCCATGCATCGCCAAACCTGTATAACCTACAAAAACCATGAAAATGCAATAATAACAAGCTCTTGTATTTTGCATATATGTATATGCAGTTGACATGTACATCAGTCATGCATCATCATCTAGTACTTGTAGGACTCGCATTTATTTATTTATTTATTTATTTGTTAATTTATAAGCTGCCGATATATAGATTGTCGCTATATTATGTTCCATCCGATTCATTCAATTCAGATGTGTAGCTGCTTTCCGCAATGATGTACGGAGTACTCTAAATACAGTAGCATCATTCAAATCAATCATAGTTTGCAGCACTCAAGAGTGAAAACCATGAATTTGGAAGAATCATATATCTAGTAATATTGTTTTATGAAAACATAGAGTACTTAAAATTAAATTAGCAGTATTAGTATGACATTAGGGACAAATGTAAAATTTAGATCTTATTTCAAATTATCTCTCATAATGCGAGTGGTGGATAATTAGTAAAAGGGATTACTTTATGTATTTTTATGACGATGAGGCAGTTATTTTTTTATAAAATAGAATATATCCGGTAACTGTTGTTAATGATTATTATTATTAGATTAACCAAATTTAAAAGACTAATATGTTTTTATTGTCCTGAGAATTTTTAAGAATTTATCTTTCCTAGCAAAAATGCCCGGGCGTTGCTACGGGACGTTAGTTTATAGTCCAGTCACTTGGACGGCATGAAGTTCACAAGATTTGTTCAACAATCACGTCATGCGTTCTCATTCATCTTAGAACCAAACTCTATAATATGTTCGGACATGCTCTACTTGAATTCATATAGGTAAAGGGCGTTTGAAGTTTTATCCAATGATCGGGTCATGAATTTCAATTTCTCTTGGAATGGAACTCCCCGCCGTGTCTTAACACAGTACTCTAATTCATAAAAGTATGGGAGAGGGCAAATGATAAAAAAAAAACACTAATATTTACTCAAAATATACCATAACCTTAATTTTCATACTATCCAAGTGGTACAGTTAAATATCGAGTTTTGTGACTTACTATGATGACCCATAAAAATATGTAGTTCATCTTATTAAGCCCCACAAACACAAAGTTTGTGGCTGACCGATATTGCTCATCATCATTTAGCTATTGCATTTATTTTTCTCATTGCCGGCCATATGTATCGAACTAACTTCAGAATTGTTCTGTAATTCCATTTCATTTTCTCTATTTTCTTCATTCCATTGATGTGCTTTTCTATGCCCTTATTGCAGCTAACGCTACTGAGCTGCTCTTTCTGGGAAGGTATCATTAAGATGTTTTTTCCTTAACTTGCTGCATGAAAAAGTACATCACAAGCTTCTGATAACGAGCGGGCGAGATGGATCATCTTTATACCTTTACGTTTGTGTTTGCCCTTTGCTGTAAAGATGTAAGGAGTTATTCTAGGATCTCCACCATGCCACCACTCTTGTAAGAACGTAACGCATGCGACGTTTCCTGCTAAGGCCTGGCCACATGGCCCGCTGCAGGAGGCGTGGGGTGGCGGGTAGGCACCTCTCTCCTCATGGTCATGAGGTGGTGAGACATGTAGATCTTATCAATATCGTCCACTCATTGATTTTGATCTCTCCTTGTGGAGTGCTCCACCATGACTCCGGCCGAGGTTGGTGGGGGAGGCATGTACGAACAACGCAGCCAGCAAATCCATGGCCAAGACGTGTGAATCCATAGTAGGCGGAGCACTGGAATTTTCAGCCATCCATTGATCCTGTTCGTCCACCACATCGTCCGACATTCTCGCTGCAAGATTGCATGGCTTAGTTCATCTCCTTCATCTAGAACTTGTCGTTCTTCAATCTTGTTTCGTTTTTTTTTTGAGACATCCATTGAGATAGAGATTTATATAGTTGTCATATATTTCCTTTTATTTGACTGATTTCTTTCTTCCCTTTTTTTAAGGGTTGGCTTCAATGAGATGCAATTGGACTCCATATTGAATAACCTTCGGACAAAAAAGAAACAGAAAAAGGAAAACTAAGAAACCG